CTCACTGGGGGATTCTAGGCAGGGGCTCTACCACTGAGCCACACCCCAGCCCCTCACTGGGGGATTCTAGGCAGGGGCTCTACCACTGAGCCACATCCCGGCCCCCCACTGGGGGATTCTAGGCAGGGGCTCTACCACTGAGCCACACCCCAGGTCCTCACTGGGGGATTCTAGGCAGGGGCTCTACCACTGAGCCACGCCCTCAACCCTCTATTAATTTATTGGAAACAGGGTCTCACTATGTTGTTCTGGATAGTCTTGAACTTTTGATTCTTGTGTCTCAGCCTCCTAAGTGACTAGGATGGCAGATCTGGGCCACCAGGCTCATCTAGGACGTATATTTTGCCTCATGAAGTATTAGCGATGGAGCTTGAGCCTTGGTGCCAGCACATTAACCCATTGCCCTGCCACTGAGCTACAACCCTTGGATTCATATTCTGGGGGAGGGAACCCAGAGCATATTGCTTTGTTTTGAAGAAGAATGCCCACTAAAGGTTCAAAAGAACAGCTTTTGGCTACATCTGCTTCAGATTCTTGACTGGGGGGACTGAGCATCCTCAGATGTGGATTACTTCTGTCCCTGGCTTCATGTCGCTCTATCTTGGGGAGCAATGTGTGGTAACTGAATGCCATCAGTGCCCCACTGAAGTCCTGTGCATGTGACTTTTGCAGGTCCCTTGTCTTTGTCCCTCTCAGTAGGTAAGGGACAGGAGACCCGGGGAGGTTCAGACGGTCAGAACTGTGAATGTCACCAACTGCTCTTAAAAAAACCTCGCTTTGAGTGAGACCAGTCATTCCCAAGACAAAGCAGGCTGAGGCAGGGAGACAGAAAGCTAAAGGCCAACTCCAAAACCAGGGAGTTCCAGGCTCAAACGTAAGAAGCTGCCTGGTGTTAGTGGTGCACGCCTTTAATCCCAGCACTCAGGAGGCAGAGGCAGGTGGATCTGTGAGTTCAAGGCCAGCCTGGTCTACAGAGTGAGTTCCAGGGCAGCCAGGACTACACAGAGAAACCCTGTCTCAAATCCCCCTGCTCCCCAAAAAAGAGGGCTGGAGAGTTTTTGGCTCAGTGGTTAGAAGTACTTACAGCTATTTCAGAGAACCCAAGTTCTGGTTCCAGAACCTGTATAAGGCAACACACAAATAACTACTGCCGCTGATACTATCTGATGCCCTCTTCTAGCCTTCATGGGTACCCAGACAGACAGACAGACACACAGAGACACACATACACACAAACACAATGAAATATATCTTAAAATAAAGAAAAAGTTTGGAATGTAAAATCCCTCAGTGAGGGGCTGGGGTTATGGTTCAGTGGTAGAGCCCCTGCCTAGAATCCCCCAGTGAGGGCCTGGGGTGTGGCTCAGTGGTAGAGCCCCTGCCTAAAATCCCCCAGCGAGGCGTGGGCATGGCTGTGTGGTGGGCATGGCTGTGTGGTGGGCATGGCTGTGTGGTGGGCATGGCTTTGTTGTGTGGTTGGCATGGCTGTGTGGTGGGCATGGCTGTGTGGTGGGCATGGCTGTGTGGTGGGCATGGCATGGCTGTGTGGTATGTCATGAGGCCCTGGGTTCCATCCATAGAATATCGACAACAATAACGATGGTGTTGATGATGAGAGTTCTGAACACACAGGTGAAACTCAGAAATGTGGAGGGTCACTCATTCAGGAGTCCACACTGTGGGAAGTTCTCTGTGTCTTGGATATATATATATATATATATATATATATATATATATATATATATATATATATATTCACTATATATATATTCACTATATATATATATATAATCACTGCCACCTTGTAGCCTTTGTAAAGCGCTCAAGCCTCTGTCTAACATGGAGAAAGTGTTGCATTAAAGCCGGTTAAGTTTTCACCGAGGAGGACGGCAGGAGGCTGTAAGCAGGCAGGGTGCAGTCTAGTAGCCTGGTCTGAAGCTCACATCCCATAAACCTGAGCTAAAAAAACCATTTTACACAACTGTAGGTCGGCAGCATCGCGGCCCTGCTCAGGCTAGCCTGCAATGTGCCTTCGGTAAGTGGCGCATTCTTTAGGTACTTCATTTGTTCAGTGATGTTATTACTTGGCCATAGGCTGAGCCTGAGGATAGAATGTGTGATGTCACCAGTTACCAGGTAGATTTGGCCCAACAGGTGGGAGCAGTGAGCCCAACAGTTACCAGGCCGCTTAGCTGACTGCCCGTGGCCATCCCTAACCTGCCTTCCCTCCCGAGCCTCAGTTTCCTCCTCTGTTACAAACGGAGAGCGGTAATCACTGCTTCAAGCTGCCAATCTTACCGAGGACGAGAAGAGCTTGTATATCTTAAGTACCGGGTTCTTGAGAGACTCGCAGTAGCCCCAGGTAGGACTTAATCTTTGATCTCAGCAATTCCTTGACAGAGAGATTTATCTCCCATTACAGGAGAGGGAAACTGAGTCACCTTTCAGGGAAGGATCTCGTGCCCTTAGGCACGCCGAAATGATACCTGGATGAGTAAGTAAATTAATGTGGACACCTGGCCCACTGCTCCACCGATTAAAACAAAACAAAAACTCTTGAGTGCAGCTCACATCCCGAGAGGCCAAGCAGCAGAGGTTCAGGGCTGCTGGCACTCATGTCGCGTGTGAGGGAATGAATGAGTGAGAGAGAGAAATGGGTGATAAATGAGCGGGGCAGGGAATGGCGGAATATATGAATGAGTGGATGAAAACAAGCGGGAGAAGGATGGAGTGAGAAAATGAATCAATGCCCAGATAAAATTGAGAAGGGCTAGGAGAATGAATGAATGACTAAATGGACAGGGTGAAGGGACATCCCAGAGCACTTGCGGCCCCTCACTTGCCTGTGCCCTCAGCCCTGGCTACGGTCGGGACTTCACCACCCAGGACATGGAACTCTGAGATGCTCGGAGCCCCTTGACAGTCCCTCAGGCTCCCCCACAGTCTCCCCCTCCCCCACCTTCATGCCAGCTCTGGCCTCTCCTCTGCATGCCCATCCCTCTGCCACCCGCTGCCCCCAGCACCCCGCAGCCTCTTTGGGTTTTCCGTCTTGTGGTTTCTTCACTCCCTGTGCCAGTACCCACAAGCAGGTCTCCGCATTAGCGCTGGAAGTGATGGACTCGTCCTCTGAAGGGGGCCAGCTCAGCCCCGTGGTGGAGAAGGGCTGAGCTAGCACAGGCTTCCATGTCAAGAGATGGATGGAAGGAAGGGAAGCCATCACCTATGGCCTCGCCTGCTGCCGTCATTACGTTTTTATAATTCGGTCTGCACACAGCAGGAGAAGACCCACCTAGGACCAGGTGTTCTGCCCTCCCCATGCTCAGACCCACAGCACCTGTCTTACTGCAAGTGGTATCCAGCCATGACAAGGACCCGCAAGGCACCCCACCTGCCCTGTCCCTCTGTGCCGTCATCTCTGGTGGCCCGGCCTGCTGGCCTTGTCCTCCTCCCACATTCTGAGTCAGCCCTGCTGTCCACGCTTTACACAGGCTGTCCCCTTGCCTTCCATTTGTCTACAGACTCTTGCTCTCCCCATGTGAAATATGCCATGCTGTCACTGAACCCCATCATCAAGGACACCCTGTGGACAATGGGCTGGACACACATCCTCCAGCCAGCTACACCTCCCCCCAAAAAAACCCCACACATGCGTGCGGTAATTAAGCTGTATATTCTGTCTACCTTCTTTGTCCAGGGCCTTTCCACAGTGAACATATTTTCTTTAGATTAATCTGTGTTAAATGTATGGATGTCTTGCCCTCATGTGTATCTGTGCACCACATGCAGTGCCTGCAGAGGCCATAAGAGGGCGACAGATCCCCCAGAACTGAAGTTACAGACGGTTGTGAGCGGCCAAGTGTGTGCTGAGAATTGAACCCAGGTCCTGCAAGAGCAGCCAGTGCTCTTAACCACTGAGCCATCTCTCCAGTCTCAACCATGGTTCATTTTTGGTCTGTCTGTTTTGGTTAATGTCTCCAAAATCCCCCCAGCACTGCCTGCGGTAGGGAGAGAGCTTCTGCACATTTGCGTCCACTGAAGGAAGGGAATTTGTGTCTCACGGTCTTCCCTGACCTTGTGCAGTCTCTCAGCAACACCATGAGGCTTCTGATGATCCCTGGCTTACCGAGGAGACAACAGAGGGTCAGAGAGGTGGAGCCACCTGGCTAACGTCACACAGCCATGGAGGGCAGAGCAAGTTTGAACCCAACATGTTAGGGAGACACAAAATTGACCCAAGCTGTTCAGAGATGCCCTGGTCATGACTGCACCCAGTCCCACCGGGTCAGTCCGAGAGCT